GAAAGTGATGATGGAACTTTAATATTTTTGTCGATATTTTTATGAATATTCTTATAATTGGATATTATTTAATCTAGAGAAATTTTTTTCGGAACGAAATAGTTAAGAGAACACAATAATCTGGCATTCACTATGCAAGAATTAATATAAAATATGGATTTGTAGAATGATTTTATAAAATAAATTATATTATTGACGTATATTCGAAGGAATTGCAGTTCGTCCAAATCGTTCGAGAGCTTGCATTGAATTTTTTGCATTAAATTGCAAAGTCTCTCCTGCTAATGATTGTTTTGTTTGACTTAAGGCAGTCTTATTTCTTCTAGGAACCGTAGTTCTCTACACTCCGTGTTTATATCTCACTGTCACATGGATTCTGAAGTATACTACAGAATTTCTTTACAATTTTGTCAAAAATTTAATGACATATTTTAACATACTTTATTGAAATTTACACGAAATCAAAATGATACATTCTCATTGAATACTACTCATTCACATTCTCTTTCTGATTGCCTTCATTGTGATCATGCAGAATGACAAATGAAAATTACATTAATGGGACAGTTTAAGATTTCCTGACGAAAGCATAGTTGTCAAATCTGAAAATTTGACATGGAATAGGCTGCACGATCTTTGTTTCAGAGTCTTACAAAGTATTCACTTCAGCTCGATCAAAATTATCCGATCCGATTCAACTTCAAAATGTTAAATATTCACACTTGGGTAATTTAAACAAATTTTTAAAATAATTAAAAATACAAGTTGTATAAAATCGTGGAAAAAATCATGTAAAACTTTACTTGAATTCATTTTAAAATATAGCACTTTTGCTTTGATTTGTGGCAATAATTTTACAATTTTACAATTCCCGTTTATAACAAAATGTATATTTTCTTGCTAAACTGAAGACGGACTGTCGCCTGACTTTGTGCACTCGTTCGGGTATCTTCCTCGGTCCAACCCTTATCTGGATACCCTAGCTCGGTTTACAGGCGTCGGTTATAAACATTAGAATCGACCCATGGTCCTTACCTTCGAGTGGCCTCTTCTACGAAATAGGCGAGGAAGTTTTCCCAGGCCTAGGAACGGGCTGCGTGGCTAATATTCGTTCACATTCGTCCATACTGACATAGCCGTCGCCTTCGACGCGCTGTACAATTATACCTCCTGTAACATAGTTAACAGATACCTGACTTAGTACTACCCTCCATGATCCAAGGGTGCTTGTCCAACTCGAGCCTCGACCATCTCGAAGTGATCAGTTCCGAGACATCATCGTGGCTAGATCTTTGGACAATCACCGGCCTACATCATCAGAATAAAGACACAGCAGTCGATTTCAGACTAGGCTTACTTCTCTGTAGATTGAACGAGTCGATCCGATCGTCTGTCCCTTTTCGACCAACAGCCTGGTCTCCAGCTTCGTCAGCGTGTACTTATCGGCCGCAGGGACGACCAACCACTTCAATTTCGTACTGGGCTCGATCCTGGTCCCGGCCTACGCACAGACCTTTCCAGCATAAGACTGACCACATCTTGCACCTGGGAAGCCTGAACTCGACCCTGGTCCCGGCCTACGCACAGGCTTCCTTTCCAGTGTAAGACGGACCACGTCTTACGCCTAGGAAGCCTGAACTCGGCCCTGATCTTACAATCGTTCGTCCCCTCACCTTAATTATCGGGTGGCATCAAAGGTAACCCATCTTTTCATGGCGTCGACTGCTACCACTGTGCGTCTGTTTGGTGACTTCTTTAAATCCCTCAAATCCTGCAACTCGTACCGATCGTTAGGTAGCACAGCCGTCACGTTGAAGGATCCCTTTGCCACCGCCGTCACGGTCCTGCTTTCACCAGTTGCCGCCGGGCTGGTCGTGAACGTAACGACGTCACCCGGGTCATATTTCGGAGGCTTATACCTCCGCATATCGAACCTCTTCTTCTGACCTTGTTGCTCTGCATCCGTGGCCCTTTTTGCCTCGTCCCGAGATACCTTTAAATCTATCTGATCTAAAGTGTCTTGGATCTGCGCCAACAACCTAGCGTCCGCCATGCTACGCGGCTGGTACCCAAACAAAAGTTGCGTCGGCGATTTCCGCGTAGTTCGATTAACAGAGCAGTTAATCGCACTCTGGACCCTTTTGACGTCATTGTCCCAAAGTTCCTCTGCCTTGCCGGCGCAGGTAGCTGCGATTGAACTCAGGACTGTGCGATTCATCCACTCGCATTGTCCGTTCGCCCGTGGTGTAGCCACTGCGTTTAGCACGTGTTTGACGCTGTGCTCGAAACGTTCCGAAAGTGCGGGACGTAAACGCGGATCCCCTGTCGGTCACGATGCGGGATTGGTACTCCGAAGATTGCTATCAGTTGACTCAGCGACTTCAAAACACTCCTCACGGACGTGTCCCGGACCGGCTCGAGCACGCAAAACTTCGTAAACCCATCGACAATGACAAGAATCTGTGTATTCTTTTTGCGACTACGAACGAACAGCTCCACGTGATCTAGGCGTGTGAAACGGTACTGCGACCTTCTCTATAGGGTGTAATAGTCCCGGCTTTCGACCGCTCCGAGACTCATAATATAGGCAGTTAAGGCACGACCGGACATATTTCGAAATAAATTTCCGCATACCTTTAAACCAATAGTTTTCCTGCACTATACTTAGCGTCTTTTCCAGCCCGAAATGGCCTTGTTCATCGTGGCAGTACCGGACTACGTTGAAACGTGACATTTTTGGGACGACCCATTTATTCCCCGCCTTGGTTTTCCGAAATAGCACATCCGACTTTAAATTATACTTATCGAAGTATTGCTTTGTGGATGGCTGTCGCCTGCCTCTAGTATCCTTCGTATAACTTTCGGATCTTGGACCTGTGCGACCTTTATCCACTCTGCATCCACCGGTTATCTACAGCAATCCACCGGTTTGCGGCTCAAATAATCGACGTGTGCCAATTTCCCTCCCGGATAAACAATGTCGAAGTCTTTAGTGTTTTAGGTAACGTTTATTTAACCAACGTACTTACAAAGATTGTACAACAACGGACTTGTCGTCCAAACACTAATAACAACAAAATGATACTTGTGAGTGGAGCAGTGCACAGGCAGCACGGTGGAGACATACTTTCTAGCGTGGACCTCGGTATCGAAGAACTAAGAATTAGTGATGCGTTGGAGTCGGGTCTTATATACCCCCGACTCTTTTGTGTCTTTTCCACGTCGAAGAGTCTGGAAGTTGTTTGCTTAATTGGGAACTGCACGGTCAGGGCCATAAGGGTTTTTTTTTTTGGCAATTACCTCATGGCCTTAACGGTACTGAGTCCCAGGGTCCACGTCGTTGAAAGCGACATATTTATTGTATTAGTTATGGTACTGCCTGGGTCCCCTACAAAGTCGTAGTCTTGTAAATAGACCCACCAGCGGGGCTGAATGCCCTTTTTCAATGTAGTAGCTCGGATTGCACTGCAATCAGTGACTACTTTAAACCTAATACCCAGGAGATACACTCTGAACACCTTTTAATGCAGTAAAAACGGCCAACGTTCCCAAGTCGTAGGAGATACTTTTGTTCTTCCGGGGTAGTCTTGCGGCTATAGTAGGCGACTATTCTCTTCCCGGATTCGTGAGTCTGAAACAGTATCGTTCCCAAACCGATCGCGCTTGCGTTCGTGTGCACCTCGGTCTCGAGTTTCGGATCGTAAATTGCTAGAACGGGCCTATCGGCCAATATTTTTTTAATTTTCTGCTCGCACCGCGGCAGATTCTAATGGGCTCCAGCTCCAGCAAGCATCCTTGCTTAATAGTTTCGTCAGCGGATACACTTTCCGCGCGAAATCCTGAATAAACCTACGAAAGTAGCCCGCGAGTC